CAGACAGTCCCACCAAGGCAGACAGCGGGATGCGCACACACGCACACACGCACACACACACACTTACACTTGTTGGCGATCGCGGCCTCGCGCGCAGCGAAGAGGCGGAGCAACACACACATACACACACACACACATACTCACACACACACACACACGCACACGCACACGCTCTCTCTCTCACACACACACGCTCACACACACACACACACACGACGACGACGACGACGACGACGACGACGACGACGACCACGACGACGACGCCGACGACGACCAGCGGACCGCCGCCGAGGCTGGGTGTGCGCGCGGCTCCTGCGCACCCTCCTGCTCCTCGAGCTCCTCCTCGCCGTCGCTCGTCCACGCGCCCTCGTCCGAGTCCTCCTCCGCCGCCCCGCCCTGGCCGGAGGCCGGCGCGGCGGCGCCGCCGCTGCGCAGGCGGCCCTCCTCCGCGAGCGGCGAGCAGCTCCGCGCCCACGCCCTCGCGGCCGGGACTCCCGAGGGGCGCGGCCCCGCGGATGCGCGCGGTCGCGCGGAGGCCCTCCGGGCGGGGCAGCCGCGAAAGAAACGCTCCGCGTCCAGGGGGGGCGCGGCCCCAGGGGTGAGGGGCAACGATAAGGGGGGGGGGCTGGCACAGGGGGGGGATGCGTCCACCTGGAACCGGCGATGCCTCGCCGATAGATCGGCGATGGGCCTCCGAGAGTGAATCCGCACCTTCTCCTGGGCAGGCTGGGGCTGTCGGCCCCCCACGGGCGATCCACGGGCGATTGGGGGTCGATGCATCCCCCCCGGTGCCTACGCCCCCCACCCTATCGTTGCCCCCGACAGGGGGCCCGGCCCGCGAGGCCGTGGGCGTGGACGCGTCGCCCGCCCGCGGCTCCTGGGCGGCCTGGTCCCAGCCGATGCCGGAGTGCTCGGCGGCCATGATGGCATCCAGCAGCGCGGGCCTCGGGGAGGCGAGGGGGGCGCGGGCCCTGGGCCCCCGGCGGGTGGCCTTCGGTGCGGCCGCGGCGCGCTGCCTCGGCGTGGGCCTCTGGGCGCAAGGTTTCGGACCCCTGGGCCATCCAGAAGTGGGTCTCGGGGCCGGCCAAGAAAGGGGCGTCCAAGAGGGGGAAGCGCCAATTATGGCCGGCGGCATGTGCGCGGCCCAGGGGGGGGGGCTGGGGACGTGTTGACACAAGAAGAGGCGCCATGAAATCTGGGGAGATGTCATGGCCCTCGCCATGATATCCACACACCCCTAGTCATCACCCTCCTCCTTGCCGCCCCTGGGAATCCAGGACGAGAAACGATAACTCCCGGGGGAGCGGTCGGGAGTTCGAGGGGCGCGGATCGGAGAAAAGCAAGAACCACGTCGGATGCATGGGCAAGGGTCCTGAGGGAAACACCGCGGGGCTTGAACCACAAAAACCCTCAGAACCTCTTTTCTTCGGAGCGATGGCCTCTCGACCACCACGTCCAGCGCCTCTACACCCCACTTGGGCTCCTTCGTGGTCATGTGTTTTTCCAGCCGCATCCAGCCGTGGCGACGAAGACCCCCAGAAGCGCCTTAAAACCTCTGAAACGACGACGACGTCGTCGTCGACCCTCTTCTTCGGGGTGATGGCCTCTCGACCACAGCGTCCACCTGGCGACGGCGCGCGACTCGAAGGAGGGAGGGGAAGCGGGGTCGGCCTCACGTGGTTCCCCGACCCCGGCCATCCAGAGGGCATCGGAGAGCACCAGTCAACCCCCTGGCGAGCGCTGGCCCCTCAGCGCCATCCAGGTGGGTAACCAATAGACGGGGACCTTGGCCGATACAGGAAGATGGCGCCTCCCTGCCACTGTCCTACAACATGCCTGCCCTGCCTGCCACTTTCCTGCAGCACCTTCCTGCGCGGGGCCGAGGCACCCGCTTCTGGGCACCCGCCTCGACGGCGCTGACACGCCCCCCCCCCGCCATGGGCGCGCGCACGCGCGCGCCATGGAGGGTGGCCTCGCGACCAGCCGCGGCGCCGAGGGACCCAATTGAGACGTCTGAGACGTCTGAGACGACGACGACGACGACGACGACGACAACGTCCACCCTCGCTTTCAAGATGTTTCGGTGTTGCTAGAAGTGCCCCTGGCCCCAGGTACCCCCAGCTTTTCGCTCCATTCTGGAGCCCCTGGGGCCCTCTGGGCCCTCGTGAGGGGTGCCCTGGAGGCCGCCGCCTGGGCCACCCCGAGAATCCTGGGGGTACCTTGGGCCAGGGGTACTTCTATAGACGAGCGTGTTCCACTACTCGCAAAGTAACTACCCGCAAATGGCCTGGATCCCCCGCGGAGGCTCTACGATAAAAATCACACATCAAAGCGGACACGTGCTTCTCGCGCGTCTGCGAGCAGGCACTCTGCGAGCAGTGCAACGCGCTCGGTGATTCCGGCAACGCCCGAAGCGTTGGCCTCTCGACCACCGCGTCCGGCGCCGGGCGCCGGCCCCCGTGGCCCCGCCGCCGCGCCGCCGCCGCGCCGCCGCCCGGCG